GCACACGCACACGCACACGCACACGCACACGAATACACACGCGCACACACGCACACACACGCCCACACGCACGCACGCACGCACGCACACACACACACACACGAACACGCACACGCCTATTCACACGCACACGCGCACGCTTGTTGCGTCGGCGGCTGGGCGGAGGGCGGCTGCTCTGGCGGAAATGCAACAGGGCACACGCTGTATGCAAATTAAGGCCGCGATGCACGGACGCACGCACGCGCGCGCACACACACGAGCACACGCACCCGCACACGCACACTCACACGAACACGCACATGCACATGCACATACGCACATGTACTTGCACACACACACACACACACGCACACGCACACGCACACACATATGCACACGCACACGCGCAAGCACACACGCGCGCGCACACACACGCACGCACGCACGCACGCACAAAACATGGCATAAACATGAACCTTCGGAGGTCCGCGCGGATTTGTCGGATCGGTGCTGGACCCCCTTCCTCTTGCGTGCGGAGCGCGCCAGGGGCGGCGCAGAGGGTTCCAGCGCCGATCCAAGAAATCCACGCGGATTTCCGAAAGTTGGTGCGTATTTGCGTTTTTGCTCCCTGATTGTCGCGAATCAGAAACAATGGGCTGAAGCTGGCGCGTGCCTCTCCGCGTCCCTCTTCGCAGCCGCTGCTCCGTCCGCGCTCCCGCGCTTGGTCGAGGTGCAGCTGCCGATAAAAGCACACAGTAGTGTCAGCGTGTCAGCTGGCGCTGCTTGTGTTGCACGCGGCGGCAGCTTGGTTCCTTCGAAGAGCATAGAACGGCATACACATAAATCTCAAAGCCGATCAACGACTCAGGCAACTCGATGGGCGGCGGGGTTAGGGTTTGGAATTCGTCGAGCACGTGGCGAGATCCGGACCCCACCGCCGCCTTCCATCTATTCAGGAGAATCGATGGCTGGGGTTCGAATGGCGCCACCTGCCTCGACACCTGCAAGGTCGGCGCGCGTACGTGAAGAGCGCGTGCCTTGCGGGGAGGCATGCTCAGCGGCGTGCTTGCACGCGCGCGCCGATACGGTCGGGAATTTTTGGATAACATGTCGCTCCGCCAGTTCTGGCCCATGACGCCTCGGTGCGACTGCTATCCGCTGCGCGGTCCCGAGGCGTCCACGTGCTGAGCCTTTCCGAGCTTCCCACCCCGCGGAGCGGAACGACACGCCATCCGCCCGCCAGGCACGGCGTGTCGCTGGGGTCAGCGTGGCGAAACGCTATCAAAAGTTCCCGACCTTTCGGCGGCGAGCGAGGGGGGAAATGGGAAGGGGCGGGCCTTCTCAGAAGGCTCGGAAGTCCCCAAGCCTTCTGAGATGTGTTCTTAAGCCTTCCCCGAAGACACACAAAAAGCCTCTCAGAAGGCGCGAGGGCTTCTGAGAAGTCCCGGCGCCTTCTCAGAAGGCCCTCTCCTTCTCACTTCCCCCCCTCGCTCGCCGCCGAACCTTGGTCCGTTGGAGACGGTGGCCGAGAGCGTGGGCTCTGACCGGGTGGATCGCTGACCCGTCGGCGCCCTGCCCGTCGGCGTCCTTGCAAGTGGGCTTGGAATCCCCCGGGAAACTTTTTTTGTTGGCAAACCCAGCGCCACAGCATCTGGGCCACCTTGCAGCATCTAGGAGCATCTTGAAACGAGAAAACACTCGAAATCTAACAAAAAGCATGCACGGGGGATGGGACCTCCGAGCGATGGCCAGTGGGCGTCTTCATGATTGGATTGCATCCCCTCATCCAGACCCAGAGCGTTCGATGATCTGCCGGGATGGTTTTGATAGCCGAAGCCAGCATGCCGTTTTGCTTCACCGCCGCGCTGTTTTTCATGTCGGTGCGTGCTGCAATCCTGTACCCCGTTGCAGCTGCATCTTGCGCTTCACTCGCTTCTCATTATCCTCATCAACCTCCTTTCTCCACTGCTCGTTCCTTGTCGTCTTCCTCTGTTTCCTCCCAAGGCCTCCGACAGCGCATTTTTTCAATACGTGGCCCCAGGAACTTCTCGACCCCTTCCCATGGACAGTTTTTTGTTGTGTCCTGGACCGCCCTGGAGCTTTCCCATGGCACACCCGGAACGAGAATGGACAACACGGGGATGATGCCTGAGAGCGAATCGAATGTTGCTCGAAACCGACAGAGGGCCGCTGTGCCCAGCAGGCGACGCTCGCCTCTCAAAAGTACAACGCCCACAGCGACACCGCCAGCGAGTCCTCTGCAGAGTGGACAGGGCCTGCCGTCGGTCTTCGTCCCCGCTCGTTCCGTCCACACTCTGGCCCTGCTGACTCGAGACTCCAGCACGCCGGAACTCGTGTCTGCCGACGCGCTTTGACGAGGGCGTCCTGGATGCAGACGGCCCAGTTCTCGTGGGGTGCTCGCCGGGCGGGAGCTCGCGCCACGTTGCAGATGGGGCCTCGTCCTTTTCATGCTGGCCCCGTCGGGCCAACCCGAGTCTGCCGAAGCCGACTTACAGTGGCGGCCCATGCGAAGAACGACCCTGCTTGCCTCCAGGGCGCCCTGGGTTTTCTGGGCTTCGATGGCTTTGCTGCGGAAAGCGTGGCGTCCCCACAGCAGAAATCAGTGGACGTCCTGCTAGGGTCTCAGGGTTGGGTTTCTTGTGGAAGGTTCCTTGTGGTTGAGCCTCCACTGCACGCCTCCCCGATCCTGGAGCCCGAGCACGGCCCTCGGAAAGACCGAAGCGGACTGCGAGGCGCGGGCGCCTCGATGGTTTCTGCAAGGAGAGTCGGGGGGCGGTCTGGGCGCTCCGCTCCTGCAGAGTCGGCCCCCGGGCCTCTCCAGGGGCGCGTTTTTTTTCGAGCAGGACGTCGAGGGCAATTCGAGCAGGGGATCGACTACAGAATTGCCTTGCCCCCAGCTTGATTTCCTCATCGAGTCTGCGAGACAAATACGTACATCATGTTCGTATACCATCATTGTGCGCATCTTCCGTAGACTCGACGGACAAATAGCCCGACTCTGGAGTCGATCCCCTACCCGAGTGATCCAGCCGCGGTGACGAGACGCCTCGTGGATACGCCTCTTGGAGGCCCAGGAAGGTGGAACAGTTGCTAAGGGCGCTTCCCTTCTCGGTCTGACTTTTGGGTCCGCCGCCGCCAGGCATGCTCCGCGACAACGACGTGGGGGCCCTGCGGTCCACGGCGCTGCAGGCGCCGTCTCCTCAGCGAGAGCAAACAAGAACCCCTTAACCCTATAGCACGATGAAGACGTGGTCTCACCGAGGTCTCCGTCGTCGCATTAGGGATCATAGATATGGGCGGTTTCGTCCGATACATCTGAAACATAGTCCCTATCCCTACTGTTTTTGGCCCTCCTAACTTAGGTGCCCTCCAAAAGGGCTGGGGGTATTGTTATTGCTTATCACCTCTGGTGTCGCCGCGGATCTGGGCCAGCGAGTGAGGGGAGGCGAGGGGCCGCATGGGGGTGCAGTCGTGACGCTGTGTCGGGTGCAGGCCGCCCACACCTCCCAGGCCTTGGAGAGGCTGATAGCAATTCTCGGCCCCTCGGGGCCGTTGCTGGTCCCTGGGGCTGTGCGAGGAATGGCTCGGGACGAATGCAGGTATGATATACCGATGGGTCTGGGGCACGGGTGGCCAGGTCTGTTGTTTTGTATCCGCACCAATGATCAATCCCTGTGCCTCATGCCACAGTGATGATCTGCTGCTCTCCGATATTTCATATCAGGGACTGTGTGTTGGCAACTGACGTTGCCTTCAACAGTCCAGCGGACTACATCCAGCGCACCGCGGGCGCTGGTCACTTCAGCCTAGTGAAAGGCACATGGTGCCATACTTGCTTCAAAAGGTTCACCTCTGAGCTATCGAGAGTCATCTTGTTACGCCAGTTTGCCGCTGGTTTCATGCAATACAATTCGTGGTACACATTATGTACGGACAAAGCGCCAAGATATGGGGGTCTCTCCCTGCTGGCAAGCTTGCCACTTCGCTTAAATGTTGTTGTTGGTTTGTTGTACGTGTTATGCTGTCTTCTCTTTATCCTTGCCTTGGTATGACGTGTTTTCGCTCGCCGCATGCCGGCCTCTCGCATGATTTCACTCGCGTTCAGTCTGTTTTTTTGGTTTTCGTCCAGCGTCACACATTTCATCTTTCTATCAGCTCGCCATGATTAGCTGTCCTCTTGCGTTTGGACTGCTGTCAGCTCACTTGCCGATGCCTCTGGTTTGCATGGCACCTTGCCCTCACCATCTTGTAGCGTTGACTATTGGTTTGCGGGTTCTTTAGATAGAATTTTGTTTGCAAGCAGGTCATTATTAAGTTCGCCTTTTAGCTTGCACGTGTTGGTTGCGTTTGCATTGGTTCAGTGGGTTATTAACTCATTCTTAGGGTGCTGTTTGTATGCCTTTAGTTTGCTTTCTGATGACACTCCGCTAATATGTACCTTGCCTCGAATGCGGATCCGTTTGGCTTTTAGTTTACTGCTGGATCTACATTGATTTGCCCTTGTATCGCTTACGTGTTGCCTCCGTAGCGTGTGCTAAGCGTGTTCTTGGTTTGCCAATTAGGTCTTCTGCAGGAAAGGAGCAGAAGACGAAAGGCTTCTAGTTGGGGTCGCGCCTGTGCTATTTCGACGACACTGGGCACCAGGCCGTATTGCTGGCACCACTATCTGCACACGGTGGGACGCGCCTTTGAGGCGCGGGGTATTGTTCGAGGCAGGTTGTACGAGATGCAGCGGGTTCCCAGAACAGGTGAACTACTTCCGCGTCAGCATCGGGGAGTCCATCCGTGAAGTGGCAGGCCGTTCATCGCGAGCGATGCGTCCGATTCGGACTTGGTAGCTGACTTGACGCTCTCTGAGATTGATGTTTTCCCAAGCGTTATGCCTGCAAAATCAGGTGGCACCGTCGCCCTCGTCGGGCTCTGGTCTGATCCAATCAAAGCTGCGGAGAGGAGAGGGTGCGAACACGTGCAGAAAGCAGCGGCAAACAGTGAGCGAGCGGCCCCCTTCGCTAACTGCGTCTGCTGCTGCCCCGCCTCGACGCGGGCAAAGTCCAGCGGCAAGCGTCGGCTCGCGCTCTTGCCTGACGCCCCCCGGCGCCAGCAGGCCTCTCGGCAGGCCTGCCGCGCGCTACTCGCGAGGCCGCACCCCGAGAACTGACGCTGAGTCGGGCATGTCCCTCCACAGGTAGACTGCCCAGAAAGAGTCAGAAATCGTCAGGGGACGACGTGTCGAGCATTTTTCGACCATTGCTGGGCATTTTTTTGTTTTTTTTTTTGTATCTTATTTTTTTTTTCTATTTTTCCTCCAGAATCCCCCTGCAGGGGGACATGCCCGACCTAAAACTAACGCCGCTGCGTGCCCGAGCGGGAGCCCGGACGCCTGCCGCGCGGCCTCTCCGGCCGCCGTCCTGTGGCAGCAGGAGCGCCGCGGTGCCGCCTGGTCCCGTGCTCCGTGCGCGCGCGCGCAGTTCTCGTCCCAGACGAGCGACGTCCTGAGTTTTTCGGGACGGCGTCCCCGGAAGTCCAGAGCCTTTCCCCGGGGCCGGTTTTTCCTCCCGAGTCGTTCTCGGACGGTCCCGAGGCCCAGCGAGGGCCCCCCGAGGTCGTACAGGCAATTGACCATCTGCTTCCTGAGGCAAAGACTCGATGCACGACAAACCTGACTGAGATCATCCACCCAAGCCCTGTGCGACATATTGTCGTGGACCGTCGTGATAGTCTGCATGATGTGATATGTGGCACACTTGAGGGGGTGAGGAGGAGGATGAGGAGGAGGAGGTGGAGGAGGAGGTGGAGGAGGAGGAGGAGGAGGAGGAGGAGGAGGAGGGGGAGTTGGAGGAGGAGGAGGAGGAGGAGGAGGAGGAGGAGTAGGAGCAGGAGGAGGAGGAGGAGGAGGAGGAGGAGGAGGAGGAGGAGGACGAGGACGAGGGGCTCGCCCTGGGCTTGCCGCCGAGAGGGGGATCGCAGGGCTCTGGCCAGTCGCGGGCGTCCAGGCGCCGCCGCCCCTGAGCGGAGCCCCGCCCAGGTGCTCCGGCTCGGGTGCGCCGTCGGCGGCGCCGCGGCGCCCGGCGCCGCCGCGGCCTCGCGGGCGGCGGGAGGCGTGGCCGAGGCTCGCCCGGGCGGAGCGCGGGGCGGTGGGTTCAGCGGCACCGTAACAGGTGCTGACCAAGGAATACCCATCGGTCGTTGAAAGTAGGTACTTTTTGGATTCCCAGACTCCAGTCTGGTCTGAGCGACTTCCCACTTCAATGCTCGAGTGGCTTCACCCTTTCCGTCATCTTCAGGGTGCTGGCGGACATCCAATTTGCTTTCAACGCCTTCCTACTTCATCTTTCTTCCTACTTCTTCCGACCGATGGATACTTTGGAGATTTGCCGACAGTTGCCAATTGAGGGCCTCTTTCTGGCATGGCAGCGTTACCCACATCGGGGAGGGTTGGGTTCGCCGGGTCACTGGTCAGAGTGCCCGTTCGTGGAGTCCCCCTTGGAGGGGCGCTGATGGGTCGAGGCCTCCCGGGAGAGTTTTTGTTTGACCCTCTGGTTCATAACGCGCGTATTTCTTCCCCTCCCGCCCCCCCTCCCACCCTCCATAGCGTATCGGAGGCGACGATCAAGGGCGAGAACAGCCCAGGGGAGAGCAATGCATGTATCCAGGGGCGCCGATGGTCAATGCATTCCGCTCCCAGGCGAATGCGTGTAATGCCTGCCCCTGGGCTATTCGCCCCTATCGTCGCCTCCGAACGTAAAGCTCGCCCCCCTCAGTGCGTCCCCTGCACTGCCGCAGTGCGTCTGGCACCACGGTCTGGGGTGGGGGGGGGGCGCTACGTTATGCCCCCCCCCGTCCCCCCTCCTCCCCCCCAAAGACATCGCCGCGAATTTCAACATGCGCTCCAGATGGAGAGTGTTGTTTACCGAATGGCCTTCTGCCCACACCGCCACCTTGCTTGCGTTGTGGGTATGAAGCCTCTTGGATGTGCATTGGGATCTCGTGGGAGGCCTCTCGGGGGCCTCCTGGAGGCAGTTTTGAAGCCTCTTGGCCTCTTGGGTCCTCTTTTGGGCTTCCTGGGGCCTCTTTGGGTCTCTTTGTGCTTCCTGGGCATCTCTTGGGGCCTCCTGGGGGCCTCTTGGGGAGGAAGGCTCGGATTTTCGGTTCGTGCGTGTTCCCTCTCTTGGGTCCCTACTGGGGCCGTCTTGGGGCCGTCATGGGCGCCTCTTGGGCCGTCTTGGGGCCCTCTTGTGCTGTTTTGGGGCCCTCTTGGGCCGTTTTTGGGTGGTCTTGGGGGCCTCTAGGGCCGTCTTGGAGCGTCGGGAAGCCGAAAAGGCGAGAACGCCGAAAACCTTTAAACAACAATGAAAATCAATGATTTTGGCCTCTTGGTGCCCTCTGGGGAGGCCTCTTGGAGGCTTCTTGGGGCGTCTTGGAGGCCTCTTGGGCCATCTTGGGACCATCTTGGGCGTCTTGGAGCGATGTTTCGGGGACTCGCGGCCCTACCGTCTTGGAGGCCTCGTGGAGCCCCCTTGGGTCCCAAAAAGTCACGCGGGGAGACGCGCCGGACCCCAGAGGGCACGCGAAAGGCGGGGGTAGATTTCGGAATATGGGGTCCGTGCCTTTTAAAGACTTCTCAGGACTGAGGACAGAGGTCGCAGGGATTGAGCAAAGGACCCGAGGACACGCCCACTCCGTGCCCACAGGCACTGTGGCGGATTCCTGGGCAGTACAGCGAAGACGCCGAACTAAGGACCGCTTTGGGTTCGGGAGGGGCTCGCTGTTCCTTGGGCCATTGCGTGGTTGTTCATCTGGCCCTCTTCGTGCACGCATGCGCTGTTGGAGCCGAAACGGTGCTCCGTTACTCATTGGTCGTTCCTTGTTGCAGCAGCCCGCCTGCAGCTGGCGTTACCGGGGGGGGGAGGTGGGCGGGAGGCCAGTACCGTCACGTTTCGCACGGGCGCCGTCTGGGAATGTTTAGGGATGACCGAAGCCAATTCGGATATCAGGACGAATCATACCAAAAACGCTCCCATGAGCGACGGAAGAAAGCGGGGTCGTCTGCGCCAACATTGGCGCGTAAGCTTCCCGCGTGAGGTCGGGGGCGAGCGCCCTCGTTCCTAACGTAGCGTGCCGCCCTGGCGCTCCGCGTAAGCCACCGCGTAAGGTCGTTGTCATCTCGCGTAAGATCCGCTTCTTCTCGTCGCTCAGATGGGGTCCGAGTAGACGGGGTCGCAGGTTTGCGCCGCATCGCCGATACGCCGATGCGGCTCGATGGGAAGCCCGATTTTGCCCAGGCCGATGGCACCGATGCATCGCCGACGTCGCCGATGCGGCGCGATCCTCCGATCCAACCTACTCGGACCCCATCCAGGAGGCCTCCAGTGGGGGAGGGCGCTTTCGAGGCCGTGCGTGGGGTGATGCGCGTGGTGCAGAGTATCGCTGGATGCTGGAGGTCATCCCGTCGGTTTCGGCAGGCCTGTGAGCGTATGGTCCCACACACTAAGACTGCGGCCCCCCCCCCCTTCTCTGTATGGTGAGAAGGTGGGAGTGCGGGCAGGAGGATCCTTTCCCGTTTTCCCGTCCTCCCCCCTATTGTTCCTCCCTCCCTCCTCCTCCTCCACCTCCTCCACCTTCTCCCTCCGCACTTCTCTTTCTTCCTCCTCCCTCCTTCTCCGCCCTCCTCCTCCTCCTCCTCCTCCTCCTCCTCCTCCTCCTCCTCCTCCTCCTCCTCCTCCTCCTCCTCCTCCTCCTCCTCCCCCCCCCTCCTCCTCCTCTCCCTCCTCTTCCCTCCGTTACTCGTTTTCCTCCTGCCCCTCACCAGCCCCCTCCGCCACCTCTTCCTCTACCCCCTCCCTCCCGCGCGCTCGCAGCCGGAGGAGGAGGAGGAGGAAGAGCAGGAGGAGGGGGAGGAGGAGGGGGAGGATGAGGAGGAAGGGGAAGAAGAGGAGGAGGGGGAGGAGTAGGGGGAGGAGGAGGAGGAGGAGGAGGAGGAGGAGGAGGAGGAGGAGGAGGAGGACGAAGAGGAGGACCGGAGAAAGCCCAAGCTTTATCAGCAATGCCGTAGTACACCTTGACGTCTCAGTGCCCTCTTCGCGCAGCGCTGCAGGTAGGCCACTGCGCACTGCGGGAAGCGAGCGCTCTCTCCTCGTAGGACGAGCGCCCGCCGGCAGGCCTGTTTTGGCAAGAGGGCCTTCTTTTATGCCGTGTCACTGATTTCTTGACGCTTCGCGAATTTCGCAGAAGGATTCACGGCATAAACATAAACTTTTGGCGCTCCGCGCGGATTTCTTGGATCCGCGCTGGGCCCCCCCGGCGGCGCCTCCGGCGCCGCTCCTGGCGCACTCCGCGCGCCAGGGAGGGGGGTCCAGCGCGGATCCAAGAAATCCGCGCTGTCCTCCGAGTTTTTATGTTTATGCCATTCTTCGTTCCCCTAAAAATGCTGGGTCGCGGATTTCTTGACGCTCCGCGTGTTCCGTACGCTGCTTGATTTTGGACGCCTTTTGACGCGCTTCACGAGGCCGCCGACCCCAAAAAAGTATTTTGTACTCTGGATGTACTCTGGATGGGGTATTTATCAACGGGGGGATTCACCTTCCGACTGAGCTTACCCCATCCCGCCCCCTCCATCCTCCTCTTCCCTCCTCGTCCTCCTCTTCCTCCAAACCCCCCTCCACCCGGGCCGACATCTGTAGCGATTTTGGCTCAAGGCCATGACCCGACCCTACGACCGCGAGTCCCTGGTCGGGGCGTCTTCTGAGCGCGAGGGCGGTCGCGCTTGATGCCTAGCTTTTTCCCGGAAAGGGCTTAGGCCCAGGGTTTTCTTTTAGCTGTTTACCCCCGGATCTGACTTGAGGTGGGCCGCCGGAATTATTCCTTGATAAATATCGAGGTCGAGGTGGGCCGGCGGAATTAATTGGGAGGATGTCTCGAGCGAAACGCTTGTTTTTCAGAATTGGTTGAGGATGTCTCGAGCGAAACGCTGGTTTTGCAGAGTTGGGGATGTCTCGAGCGAAACGTTTGTTTTCATAATTTGTTGAGGATTTCTCGGGTGAAACACTGGTTTTGCAGAGCCGACCGCGACGCGGAAAAGCGCCCCGCGCGCAGGAATTCCGAGGATGTCTCGCGCGTGCCGCGTCCCGCGCGCAGGAATTTCGAGGGTGTCTCGACTAATTCGTTTGTTTTCTATGCTTCCTTTGAATTTTGGCAGGATGTCTCGAGCGTGTTTTTTTTTTTTTTTTTTTTTTTTTTTTTTTTTTTTTTTTTTTTTTTTTTTTTTTTTTTTTTTGTTTTTTTTTTTTTTTACATATTTTTTTTTTTATTATTTTTTCTTTTTGTCATAATTGGTTGAGGATGTTTCGAGCGAAGCGCTGGTTTTGCAAAATTTTGATAATTTGTTGAGGACGCAGGAATTCCGAGGATGTCTCGCGCGTGCCGCGTCCCGCGCCGCGCGCAGGAATTTCGAGGATGTCTCGACTAACTTGCTTGTTTTGTCAGGTTTGTTTTTCAGAATTTTGGCAGGATGTCTCTCGAGCGAAACGCTTGTTTTTCATAATGTGTTGAGGATGTCTCGAGCGAAACGCTGGTTTTGAAACATTTGGGGATGTCTCGAGCGGGGGCTTCGTGGGGGGCAGAATTCAGAGGATGTCTCAGGCGAAATTGTTGTTTTCACGTCCCGCTCGTGGGGATTCCGAGGATGTCTCGTGCGTGCCGCGTCCCGCGCGCATGAATTTTGAGGATGTCTCGACTAATTCGTTTGTTTTGTCAGGATTTCTTAGAATGTTGGCAGGATGTCTCGAGCGAAACGCTTATTTTTCATAATTTGTTGAGGATGTCTCGAGCGAAAAGCTGGTTTTGCAAAATTTTGGGATGTCTCGAGCGGGGGCTTCGTGGGGGGGCATTTGTTTGCGTGTCCCGCTCGCAGGAATTCCAAGGATGTCTCGCGCGTGCCGCGTCCCGCGCGCAGGAATTTTGAGGATGTCCCGTAGCGCGTCCCCTTGGCACGTCCTACGGTGCGACCCCATGGCACGTCCTTTGGCACGTCGCCTGGCGCGTCCCTTGGGACGTTTCGCGGCGCGTCCTCCTGGCATGTCCCCCTGTCAATTAGCTCTGGGGCAGCTACTATGTGTTCAGGCAGCTCGAGCTTCAGATCCAGATCAGTTCGGTCAGGACTCGGATGCAAAGGAAGACTCGATCCACGACGCTATAGAGCACAACCGCGGCATGGCACATCGCAATTCAGCACGGTGCAGCACAGCACAGCCCTCGGCACGGTACATCAAGATCGATACAATCAGCATTGCACTTGCCCGTCACCCGATCAGGTGTCTTTGAAAACGTTGCCATGCGTTACATGTCATATTCCTTTCCGGGTTCGTGGGTCGATCATGTTAGAGGTTTACCCCCGGAATCGACTTGAAGGAGGCCCGCGGAATCATTTTGCGATAAATGACGAGTTTGAAGGAGGCCGGCGGAATTATGTTTGAGGATGTCTCGAGCGAACCGCTTGTTTTTCAGAATTTGTTGAGGATGTAACGAGCGAAACGCTTGTTTTGCGTTATAGTGGAATGCTTGTTTTCACATGCCCAGGTCTTGAGGATGTCTCGAGCGAGACGCTTGGTTTCACGGCTCCAGGTTCCCCAGACAGATGTCTAGCATGAGGATTTGTTGAGGATGTCTCGAGCCAGAAACTTGTTTTCACGTGTCCAGATCGCCCAAGCGGATGTCTAGCATGAGGATGTGTCGAGGAAGTCTCGATCGAGACGCTTGTTTGCACGTGTCCAGGTTGCCCAGGCGGATGTCTAGCATGAGGATGTGCTGTGAACGTCTTGAGCGAAACGCGTGTTTTCACGTAGCCTTAGCATTGCAGCCTGGCATGTTGCCTGGCACGTTCCGCGGAGCGTCCCGTGGCGAGTTCCCCTGGCACGTCGCGCGGTGCACGTCCATTGGCACGTTCCGTAGCGCGTCCCCTTGGCACGTCCCGCGGTGCGTGCCCATGGCACGTCCCCTGGCACTTCGCCTGGCGCGTCCCTTGGGACGTTCTGCGGCGCGTCCTCCTGGCATGTCCCCTCTGTCGATTCTTTCTGGGGCAGCTACTGTGTGCTCAGGCAGCTCGAGCTTAAGATCCAGATCAGTTCGGTCAGGACTCGGATGCAAAGGAGGACTCGGTCCGCAACGCTATAGAGCACAATCGCGGCATGGCACATCGCAGTTCAGCACGGCGCAGCACAGCACAGCCTTCTCGCACGAGTTGACCCCCGCTGCGATTTAGTTGATAATGTTGCTCTTGCGTGGCCATTTGGCACCGGCGACCGCTGCTGGCACTGCCTGTCTTCTCGCACCGGCAGACCATGCTGCCCCTGCTCGCCTTCTCGCACGAGTTGAGCCCCGCTGATCTGTAGCTGAAGATGTTGCTCCTGCGTGGCTGCTGTGTCGCCTTTTAGCATTGATGGTCCCTGCTGCCACTGCCTGCTTTGTCGAACTGTTGATCGGTTCGGCGTCTCCTGCGACAAATTGGCCCCAACATTGAAGATGATGACGTCAGTTCACGCGTTCTCGCCGCAGAGACCGCCCCCTGCATTGTAGCTGATGACGCTGCTGACATTGGCTCTGGCCCTTGCTTGCTTGCTTGCTTTCGTACGCATCATTCCCATCGTAGCTGTTGGTGCGCTGCTCCTACTTCCTCATACTTGCCTGCGTTTTGACAGCGGCGCCGCAACTGGCCCCATTGGTCGTCAAGAGGTGGAGGAGGGACGGGAGGGGGGAAGCAGAGTGGAGAGGGCGGATTGTGCCACGTCTCCTGGCTGGCGCGCGCGCACCTGATCTCAGTAGTGTGGCTGATGGCGTGGGGCGCCACGATTCGTGATGTCGGCTCTCGCGAGCAGGGCGAGGAGGAGGTGTACCAGGACGAGGAGGAGGACGAGGAGGACGAGGACGAGGAGGAGGAGGAGGAGGAGGAGGAGGAGGAGGAAAACCCTCCCTCACAGCCGCCCCCCTCTCCCCGAGCCGCCTTCGCCCAGGCCGTCACGCTGCGCAGGCCCCCCCCCGCCCGCCCGCCCGCGAGACGCGCGGGCCCCTGCACCGCGGACGGCGGAGGGCGCGCGGTGCGGCGCTGGGTCCCGGAGAGGCGGCGGATGAGAGCGCGGGGGGCCCTGGGCTGCCCAGTCTCCACCGCGCGTGAGGCTTTCAAGAGTGGGCTTCGCCTCCGAGGATCGGGGGAGTTGTCATCTGTCCCCCCCCCGGCGGCAGGGCGGCCCAAGGCGGCGGAAGTGCAACGAGGGTGGTTCCGCTGGCGGAAAGCGGCGGAGGCCGGCAGAAGCAGGAGTCAGCCTCCCGAGGGATGGCACGGTTTTGGGGTCCAGAGTTCTGGAACCTGCCACGTCCCGTCTGCCCCGTGTGAGTCCGTCTGGCCCTGATACGCCCGCGTGGAAACGCAGTACATGCCGTGTTCGAAATGTCCGTTGGCTCGGAACGTATTGGGCTGCTTTTTGTCGAACGTATGGCCTGTCTGAGTCCGTCTGGCCCCGTCTGAATCCGCCTCCTGGAGTTCTCCCGAAAACAATGACAACTCATTCACATGCGTTTTCGGAGCTCCTCGCGAATTTCTAGGATCTGTGCTGGAGCCTCCTCTGGCGGCGCCTCCGGCGCCGCCCGTGGCGCGCTCCGCGCGTCAGGAAAAGTGTTCAGCGCAGATCCAAGAAGCCCGCGCGGACTTCCAAGGTTTATGTTCATGCAGATTTTCCCGGGAAGGGCGCCAGCCCAGTGTTCTCTTTTAGTTGGTTACCCCCCTGGGCTCGACTTGAAGGAGGCCGGCGGAATTATTCTGCGATCAATAACGAGGTCGAAGAGGGCCGGCGGAATTTTTTGGGGGGATCTTCCTAGCGAAACGCTGGTTTTTGAAATTCCGATCGGTAAAACACATGGTCAAGCTCACATTTTCGTCTGTCGCGGATCTCTCTAGCGAAACTTTTGTTTTGCAGAATTTGTTGAGGATCTCTCGAGCGAAGCGCTTGTTTTGTGTTGTGGATTGAACCTCTCCTAGGGACCATAATTCAGAGGATGTCTCATGTGAAATCCTTGTTTTCACGCCCCCAGGTCCTGAGGATGTCTCGAGGACAACGTTTGGTTTCACGCGTCCAGGCTGCCCAGGCAGACGTCTAGCATGAGGGTTTGTCAAGGTTGTCTTTACAAGACGCTTGTTTTCACGCGTCCAGGTCGCACAGGCAGATGTAAAACCTGAGGATGTGGTGAGAACGTCTCAAGCGCAACGCTTGTTTTCATGTGTCCAGGTCGCTCAGTCGGATGTCTAACATGAAGATGTGTTGAGGATGTTCCGAGCGAGACGCTTGGTTTCACGTGTCCAGGTCGCCCAGGCGGATGTCTAGCATAAGGAGGTGTCGAGATAGTCTCCGGCGAAACGCTCGTGTGCACGTGCCCAGGTCGCTCAGGCGGATGTCTAAGATGAGGATGTGTTGACGATGTTCCGAGCGAGACGCTTGGTTTCACGCGTCCAGGTCGCCCAGGCGGATGTCTAGCATAAGGAGGTGTCGAGATAGTCTCCAGCGAAACGCTCGTTTGCACGTGCCCAGGTCGCCCAGTCGGATTTCTAACATGAAGATGCCTTGAGGATACCTCGAGCGAACCGCTTGTTTTCTACATGTGTCCAGGTTGCCCAGGCGGATGTCTAGCATGAGGGTGTGTTAAGGATGTATCGAGCGAAACGATTGTTTCTACGTGCCCAGGTCGCCCAGGCGGATGTGTAACATGAGGAGTTGGGCAGGATGTCTCGAGCGAAACGCTGGTTTTCACGCGTCCAGGTCGCCCAGGCAAATGTCTAGCATGAGGAGGTTTTGGGAACGTGTTGAGCGAGACGCTTGGTTTCACGTGTCCAGGTTGGCCAGGCGGATGTCTAACATGGGGACGTGGTGAGGATGTCTCGAGCGAGACGCTTGTTTTCACGTGCCCAGGTCGTCAAGGCAGATGTCTGACATGAGGATTTGTTAGGGGATGTCTCGAGCGAAACGCTTGTCGCAGTAGAGTGCATCGCAATCCAACCCCGCCCGTCCGTGGGACGTCCCCTGGCTCGCTGGCGCGTCCCCTGGCGCGTCCCTGGTTACGTTCTGGCGTGACGTGCCGTGGCACGTTCCCCAGCACGCCACTCGGCGTGGCACGTTCCCTGGCTCATCCTCTGTCGCGTTTCCTGGCTCGTCCCCAGGCGTTTCCCCCGCCCGTTCCGCTGCGCGCCCCTTGCAGTATCCCTTGGCATGACGTCCTCTGGCCGCCCCATGGCACGCGCCGTGGCACGTCTTGCGTCAGGTCCTCCAGGGCACGTCCCCTGATAGGTCCGCGTACACGTCCTCTGGCGCATCTTCTATTGCGCCCATGGCACATCCTGTGGCGCGTCCGTGACCCTGTGCCCCCGTGTCGTGCCGTTCCTTTTCGGAGCTGAGTCGGATTTTGAGGTCGAGTTGTTTGAACGTCCTCCACGTTCCCACTTCAACTAACCCTGGGGCAGCAACTATGTGCTCAGGCAGCTCGAGCTTAAGATCCAGATCAGTTCTTGTCAGGACTCGGATGCTAAGGCGGACTCGACCCACAACGCTATAGAGCACATTCGCGTCACGGCACATCGCAATTCAGCACGGCACAGCACAGTTTTTGGCACGGTACATCAATATCGATACATACAGCATTGCACTTGCTTGTCGCCCAATCTGGTGCCACGAAAACGTTGCCATGCTTCACATTTCTGGATTCCTTTCTGGGTTCGCGGGTCGATCGTGCTTCTTCCTGCAGTCCTCTTGCGCAGATGACGGAAAGAGCGAGGCACGAGTGATGACGTTGTGTTTTGGGCGAAGCCCTCTAGGGAGGGGCCCATGGGGAGGGGGCATGAGCGGAGGGATGCGGTCTATTGGCAGCTCGGGGCGTCTTGGAGGCCTCTTGGGCGCTTCTTGGGCAGTCTAAGGCGCTCAAGACGGCCCAAGAGGCGCCCAAGACGGCCCAAGATACCCTCGAGACGGCCCAAGAGCGCTCTAAGAGAGCCCAAGACCGCCCAGTACAGCCCCAAGACGCCCCAAGAGGCCTCCAAGACGCCCCAAGAGGCGCCCAAGAGGCGCCCCAAGAGGGCCCCAAGAGGCCAGCATCATCGATTTTCATAAGGACAACGTGCATTTTTAGCACAGACGGCTTTTCGGCTTTCATGGCGTTGGAGACCGTCCAAGAGGCCCCCAAGCCCGCCCTGAGACAGCCCAAGAGGCCCCCAAGAGGGCCCCAAAACGGCCCAAGAGGGCGCCAAGACGGCCCAAGAGGCGCCCAAGACGGCCCAAGAGGGCCCCAAGACGGCCCCAAGAGGGCCCCAAGAGGCCCCCAAGAGAGCCCCAAGACGGCCAAAGGCAGCCCAGTCCCCGCACCCCCGCCCCAAGAAGCTCCCAGGAGGCCCCAAGAAGCACCCAAGCAGCTCCAAACGGCCCCCAAGAGGCCCCCAAGAGGCCCCCCAAGAGGCCCCAAGAGCCTCCCCAAAGGCCCCAAAGACGCACCAAAACGGCCCCCAACCGACTTCGAAACTGCCTTCGAGAGGCCCGCGAGAAGCCTCCCCAGAGATCCCAGTGAACACCGCACAAGCTTCAGGCCGACAACATAGGCACGATGGCGATCGGTCACGTAAAAGCTCTTCACACCAAGGCTCCGAACAGCGAACGGTGACGTAAACAAGCTGATAAGACCAAGGCTCCCAAGAGCGAAGGGTGACGTAAACAACTCGACACCAAGGCTCCCCTGGGCGAGCGGCAACGTAACAATCTCTGAACAACAAGGCTCCCGAGAGCGAGCGGTGACGTAACAAGCTCTTAACACCGAGGCTCTCAAACGGACGGTGGCATGACGAGTCCTGCACCGCCAAGGCTGCCAGGACGAAAAACGGCGTATGAGAGCTGCAAGACGGCCGAAGAAGGCCCCAAGACTGCTCACAAGAGCTCCAAAAGGACCCCCAAGAAGGCCCGAAACGGCCAAAATCGATGATTGTCCGTAAGTGTTTGGAAACATAATAGTCTCTTATTAAGTAAATAGTTCCTAACAGCGAGGCTCTCAGTACGGACAGTGACGTGAGAAGTGGTTGACCGCCAAGGCTCCCAGTACGAAAGTTGACGTAAATAACTTTGAACGCCAAGGCTCCCAGTACGAAAGGTGGTGTGAGTAATTTCGGTCACGTTTCTGAAGCGCTCTCTCCGCTCATTGTGAGCTCCACCGAAGGCCCCGGTGCTCCCGCCTGCACGCGTCCCCCCCACCCAGTACAGTGTTTCGTGGCCCCATATGGAGCTCCACCGACGGCCCCAGCGCTACCGCCCGCATGCTTTCCCAGCGCTTCGTTGCCCCATATAGCCGAAGAAGATATTCACGATTGCGTTACCCACCACTACATATGGTTGAGTTCTTCGCCAGGAAAATTTCCAACGAGCGTTTGCGGCGCTGGGGCGAGAACCACTTTTTGACAACGGCCCGCCCCCGATCCGTGAAACCCCTGCATGTTTTAAAAGAGGATGCGCGCGGCGCTGATGCGAGAGCCGCATTTTGGAAACCGCTCGCCTTCAGTCCGTGAAGCTGTCGGAAGCTTTGGAATCGAATGTGCGCGGCGCTCGGGCGAGAGACACATTTTGAACACCACCCGCCCTCCATCCGTGAAGCTGCTGGAGACATTCAAGACGAGTGTGCGCGGCGCTAGGGTGAGAGCCACATTTTGAAAACCACCCGCCCTCCATCCGTGAAATTCCTTCAGATCTCAAGCTTCAGGCTCATAAGTGGTGAGGAAGTCTCAGACGAAACGCCCTGCCCTACCGACCCGTCGCGGGCTGCGACATTTTTTCCAAGAATATGGATGGAGGAGGAGGAGGAGGCGGAGGAGGAGGAGGCGCAGGATAAGGAGGAGGACCGATACGTCAACGTCTTGGGGAAACAAGACGAGCTTGCTGTTTGCATGTTTGGCCGTTTTCGGTCCCGGGGCCGCCCACC